AGGACCACAAGGACAACAAACACGAGCAGTAACAGGATGGCCACTGCCACACCAGCAAGGGTGCCCTTCCACATCCAGTTATCTGGAGGACTGGGGAAGAAGGGTTAGTGGGGTGAGGAGAGCCAGAGCCCAGAACACTGCCTGCCAGAGAACCTTCTTCCCCAGGCCTCCAGTTCCCACAGCCTCTCCCGCAACCCAGCCTCTTCTGGGGTTTCCTGCTCAGCTGGGCAGGGGACAGCTTCACTGTGCACTGGGCCTGCCTTGTAGGTCCTGCGGTCTCCATCTTAGGGGAATGCTGAAAATGGTACAAGCCATTGCTCCTTTTCTGTAGCCTGCTCCTAACTTCTTTTCGACCCTGAACTTGCCAGTTCCAGCCTCCTTCCTGCAGGGATCTTGTACTACTGGCCACACACTGTCAAGGACACTGTTAAACATCTTAAAAGTCACAGAACTAGCTAGAGCCTGGGCTGGTGGCACAGGTGGCACAAGTTTTATCACTCAGAGGGCTGAGGTGTGAGGACCGATAGTTCAGTGCCACCTTGCATGATAGAGCGAATTAAAGACCAACTTGAGATGTTGAGTGAAATCATGATCTCCAAAAAGAAAATATAAGGCTGAGAGTACAGTACCTAACTCTTGTCCATAAATCTGAAGTCTCAGTTTCAATCTTCACCATAAAAGATAGATGATAGATAGATAGATGATAGATAGATAGATAGATGGATGAGGATAGATAAATGATAGATAGGGTATAGATAGATGATAGATAGATCAATGATAGATAGATAGACGAGGATAGATAGATAGACAGAGGAATGAGGATAGATAGATGATAGATAGGTTTTAGATAGAAGATAGATTTCTGATAGATAAATAAATGTGTAGATGAATGACTGATAGATAAATTATAGATAGATGATAGAAAGATAGATAGATAGATAGATGGATAGATAGATAGATAGATAGATAGATAGATAGATAGATAGATAGATGATAGACAGACATTGGAATATTACTGTGATCTCATTTTGCAGATGAGAAAACTGAGGCCTATATAAAATGACCAGAAGTGGCCATTTACGTACATCTGTCCTGTGAGAGCTGGGCATCGGTCAGGGTGACAGTTGGGAACTATATCAGGAGAGTGGGGGACACACAAGAGTAGGAGTGTAGTACCTGTGAATGACAGGGCTGGTGGTAGAGGCCAGGACTGTTGTCGTACAGGAGGTCGTGGGTGGGGGTAAAGCTGTAAGAAACCATAATGAGAAGAGGAGGACCCCACGCGTGGTTCTGGAATCAGCAAGGGAGGACTCTGCCCTGACAGAAAGCCGATGCTGTGCTGTGAATGGCACTGGAGTCATGTCCCGAGGAAAGCCGCAGCACATGTGACTGTAAATGAGGCCTCTCCTGCTTCCTGCGTTCTTTCATTTGAAGATTTTTGTTATTTTTAATTATGTGTCTGTGGCGGGGGTGATGTATGCACATGAGTGCAGTGCCCATGGAGACAGAGGAATGGGATCCTCTGGAGCTGGATTCACAGGCTGCTGTGAGCCATGTGAAGACGGGGCTGGGGACCAACCCAGGTCCTCTGTAAGAGCGGCAAGCACTCTAATCACTTAGCCATCTGCCCAGCCTCCAGTGTTCTTTTAGAAATGTGTGTTGTGTATGTACATGCATGTGAATGTTTGTGTGTATGCAGGTGCACACGTGTGCGTGTGTACATGTATATGTGTTCATGTGTGTGCATGCATATTTGTGTGCATGTTTATATGTATATGTGTCCATGTGTGTGCAAGCATATGTATGTGTGCATGTGTACATGTACATGCATATGTGTACATGTGAATGCTAAAGGGAAATTTTACAAATATTTACTTGAGTGTAGTCTATTTAATTTTATTTAATTTTTGAGACTGGGCTTCTCACTTGCTGGTCTTTGCCAGTGAGCCCCAAGGATCCTCCTGTCTCCACGTCGCCAGTGCTGGGATCGCAAGCATGTGCCTACATGCCCAGCTTTGTCTTTGATGTGCATTGCGAATGGAACTTGCACAGTGACTCAGATAGGTTTCCATAATTATGATAAAACGCTCTGTCCAAAATAACTTATGGGAGAAAGAGTCTGTTGCTGTATACAGTTCAGAGTGCAGCTGCTAACAGCAAGGAACTCAGGACAGCAGGAGCTGGAAGCAGCTGGTTGCTCAATAAAAACATCAACAACAAAGACAACAAGAAGAGTTCAGGGTGCAGTCATCACAGCGGGGAACTCAAGACAGCAGGAGCCGGAAGCAGCTGGTTGTAGGTCATCCACAGTCAGGCAGTAGAGACCAGTGAATGTTCCAGGCTCACTTCCCCTTTTATACAGGGTCTGGGACCCCAAGCTTAGGGAATGGTGCCGCCCACTTTTAGAATGGGTCTTCCCAGCTCAAGCTAAGATAGTCCCTCACAGGTGTCGCCAGAGGCTTGTCTCCCTGGGGATTTTTGGTTCTACTACACTGACATCTAAAACCATCACACAGGGCACGTACTTCACTGGCTAAGTCATCTCTCGAGGCCTGTGTCCATTATGTTTAAACATATAAGGTCACAAGTAATGCCATCCCTCTATAGGGTGTGCCTGGGCCAAAGCTTTCCTGAAATAACCTCCAGGCCCCCTATAACCAAAGGGCTGGACATGCTCTATAACAGGGAAAGCCCTGGGAGGAGCTGTTCACACTGTGAGCACATGAACATGAAAGACTGATTCAGAGCCTTCTGTCACTGCAGTCTTTTGCATGAGATACACAGGAGACTCAAGTCACTAGCAGCAGCCTCTGGGCCAACTTCCCAGAGCTCAGAGGTTCTCAGTCATCAAGAGCAGATCTGAACAAGGACCACATCTCCCAGCCTTCCCCACTAAGCCCTTTGTATGCCTCTCTGTTTAGCTGTCTCCTTTGGTCCACATCTCTCAGTGCCTTCTCCATTTGCTCTGAGGTCTCTCTCATGTGATGGAGCCTGCCACCCCTGGAGAGAAGGTTTCTGATGGGATTGCAGGAAGGGATGTTTGGGAGTGGGCAGCTGTGACAGCTGGAGGGAAGAACAAGATCCTTCAATAAACAGAGTTGTGGCAGCAGCAGCAGAAATGTTTAGAATAACAGGTAAAAACTGCCCAGAGATCAGCAAACCTGGGTTCTAGGGTTGGCTCTGCCCTGACCCAGAAGGGAGCCTTGCCAGGAGGGGGTCTTCCCTGTGCCCCAGTTCCCAGCTATTAGAAGCACACTTTCTAGAGTCCTCTCCAACTCTGGATCCTGTTGATCAGGAAAGCTGAGAGACACATAGAAGGGGGAAGCTCACCTCTTGACACCACCAGGCGGATGGTTCTGAGAACACCGATTGTTCCGCGATTGTCACGGATCCCACAATAGTAGAGACCCGAGTCTCCCACTGTGAGTGCAATCATGGTGACAGTGAAGAAGCGAGAGTCAGGATGGTCCCGGATGGAGAATTTTGGCCACCAAGTATTTGTGCTGAGACTGGACACTAACACTTTACAACTTTCCGTTGATGTTTGCTGACACCACACCTTCATCATGTTGACGTATTGGCTGTAATAATACTGGCATTTCACAGAAAATGTCTGGCCCTCCTTTTTTTGATATAACTCTGCATCTTCTGCGCAATAGCCTGGGAAACACACACACCCTTCACATCAGAGAGTCCCCCAGTCTCCACAGCAGGGCTAGGAGAGTAGCTCCCTTTTCAGGGAGTGACCCTCTTTGTGTCTATGCTCAGGATGCAGCTTAGAGCCAGTCGCTGGCCATAACACACCATGTTTTCTGCCTTTCCAATAGAGCCCCATTTCGCACACCTCCCAGCCCCTTCCCTCTCCTGTCCCTGGTTCCTTCCCTCTATCCTTGTCCCCTGTCCTCACCTGAGGCCAGGAGCACCAGCAGGATGGGGGATAGCAGGTATGTGGCCTCCCAGGCCATAGGTCCTCTTCTCGAGCTGTAGGGGAGCAAGCAGGGAAGGAGGTAGGGATGCTCTGAGGAGAGGAGACCAGGTCAGGTCAGGGTCCAGGCAGCCCCCACAGCCTGTGCAGGGTGAACTGCTGAGGAAGCTGGGACCTCCGAGGACAAGATGGAAGCTGAGCAAAGCCTGTGTGGCCCTGTGGCTCCTCCAGCACAGGCTCTGGTTCAAGGCTTCTAAACTAGATAAAGGCTCACAGAGATGGTGTAGTCTCCTGCCTCAGAAGAGTGGGGTGTGGAAAGCTGAGAAAGCCCAGGAGGAAACCACAGTGAAGTAAGAGTCTTGCTCATTTCTATTCAGCACCACCCACAAGTTCCTCTCTTCCTCTTGTTTCTTAGCCTCAAGTTTCTGTATCCCCCCCCCCAAGTTTGTCTCCCACTGAAGGCAGGTGACAGAACCAGAGGTCCTTTGGAGACCTGGCTAGAACTCTAAGCCTTCTTTGACCTCCGGTGTCAGAACCTTGCTATTTAGCCCACCTGGGAACCAGAAATTTCTGTGTGGACTAGAAGGGATAAGAAGAAAGGGATGGACATGCATTCTCAGGAATGGAAGATCAGGGGGGGTCCTGATTAGTACTGGGGACCGCAAAGCTGGGTATGAAGGGAGAGAGCTCAGAAGGAGGGAAGGGAAAGAAGAGCCCCAGCCCTGTGTCATCCCCCACATACCCAGTTTCCTAACATGCCCCAGTCACTGCTGATGTCACTAGAAAGATTGTACTCATCAAATGTCTTTCAAAATAACTGTCACAGGACAGCAAGATGGCTCAGCAGGCAGGACACTTGCTACCAAGGCTGATAACCTGGGTTTGATCTCCATGGCCCACATGGTGGAAGGAGAGAACCAACTCTTAATAGTTGTCCTCTGACTTCTACATACGTGCGAATTTTATAAATAAGTGAAACTGTTATTACATGAAGTGCAAAAGATCAATAGCTACAGGCTGTCCATAGTTAGCAGACAAACTAGGAGAGAACCTGGCATGGTGGTGCAGAACTCTAAGCCTAGCTATTGGGAGTTCAAGTTCATCCTTGACTACATACCAAGTTCAGACAGGGCTACATGAAACCCTAACTCAAAATAAATAAACAAATGAAAAGAATATTTTTTTAAAAAAACTTTAGAAACAGGGAAGCACCTTTAAATGGCTATGTTGTTTAGTAGGTAGGATGCCAAGGACAAGGGCTGACCTAGATTGCACAGGACTTAGGATAGACTCTGGGGAGGAAAGGACACAAGTGTGGGGGTACTACAGGCATTGAGGAAGCCCAGGAACCGTGTGAGGAGGTCTGAGAGGCAGGGGAAGCCTTTGACCAAGCTGGCACAGGGTGCTAAGACTTTAGAGAGCAGTGTCAGTCAGTGGCGAGGCGGGGTGTCTAGGAGGAACGTGGACCATGGGAAGGTGGCTTTCAGCAGCTGAACTGCTCACTGAGGTGACATCTCCTCCTCACCCCTCCCAGCATGGAGTAAGAAGTCCAAGGATGCTGAGTGCAGACCTGGTAGCATGCATCACCATAAGCAGAGCAGGCATGTATCTGCAGCTATGCTATGAACAGTTTGGAGCACACACAACTGTGGCCACACGGGTACTTCACCTGCTCTTGGCCAAGACAGTAGCTTTGTGCAGGGGATTCCAGTCTTTATGGCCCTTGGCTCAGGAAATGGTTATCTCTGCAAGGCAGGTGTATCCTGGCCTGTCTGGCACCCCTGCTGTATACCACTCCCAGCCCCCTCACCTACTTTGGTTCTGGGTCCTCTGGAGCACCAGAAAGAAAGGCAGGAAGAGGAAGGAGGAAGAGACTGGCCTGGGGTTCTGAGAGAAGAGCCTCAGAAGCCATGCAGGCCATGGGAGCTGAGGAGACGGGTGTCTACAGCCACTCCTCAGTTCCCAGTGCTCCTACCGTGAGTTCCCAGGTGAGCAGGCATTAGAGTACCAGCTCTCATGTTTTGCTGGCTTGCAGAACCCCTGGCCTGATCCCATGAGTGGGGAGTCACTCCCTTACTCCCCTGTTTAACCTCTCTCTCACTGAAAACCTCTATACACCCATCAGCAGGACCCTGTCCCCGGCCTCCTCTGTCTGTGTGGCTCCTTCTGGAGCAGCCTCCCCAAAGTTCCCGGTGCATCAGCCTGTGCTGTCTCTGCACCCACAGCACTAGAAACTTCTGCAAGTATCACCTGTCTCCTGCCTCCTGCAGGCATTGCACATCATCTCTTGCCTTAGACTGTGCCCTGGCTTCACACAGCAAACTTCTTCATGAAGCCTGACCAACCATGCAGAGCTTGCAGGATCTCCACGCCCTGTTTCCTGAAGGACGCAAGCCTGTCCCACCTCCTGCACCATAGCGTCTGCCCCTGCCTGTGTCTAAAGTGTGTGCAACTACACAATGCCTTTGCTTCCCTCAGTCACTGTCAAAGTGAGGTCAGAGCTGTCTGGCTTCCTTTCCCTGCTGCCCTGCCTCTCTAACTGTTGAGTTGAGCTCATCCAACATGCATGTGCCTTTACCATAGGAGGTGGAATACAGGGGCTTCAGCCTTCACCATCCTCCTGTCCAGCAGAGGACACAGCATCAGAGAGGGACAGTAACTCACTGTGGTCACACGGAGATGAAGGGCCACACTGGGGATTTGAATTCAGGCCTTGATTTCAGTACCACTGTATTACTATGTACCTTAACTATTCACAAGCAGGTCTCAAGGCCACTGTTGAGGTTGAATGAGTTGTCCCCCCCATAGCCTCAGGCATGTGAATACTTGGTACCCAGCTGGGAGTGCTGATTTTAGGAGGTGTGGCCTTGGTGGAGGAAGTTTGTCACGGTGGGTAGGTATGAAAGCCTAAGGCTTTACCTTACTCTTAGTTTGCTCTCGCTGCTTCCTGCATGTGGACCAAAATGTGAGTTTGGAGCATCCTGTACCATTCTGTTGTGTGCTTCTCTATCAGTGAATTCAACCCTCTAGAGCCATAAGCCCAAATAAACCCTTCCTTTTAAACGCTGTGCTGGTCATGGTGTAGCCTGGACCAGCAGACTTCATTGCAGGATCCTGAGTGGGTGGACAAGAAATGATAAATACAAAGAAGATCGGAAAGCTGGGACCAGGAGATCCTGCATAAGCTGATAACTTATGTCCTGTGAATTATTAATAAGTACAACATTTTGTACATGGTTTGCAGAGGGGAAATGGGAGCGGTCAGCACAGAACTCCCATGCACTGGGATGGAGTCAGCAGGAGGCTAATCAGGCGTCGTTGTAGGAAAGGAACACAGGAATCGCAGGTGCATCACAGACAGAGCACATGGACCTTGAGACTGAGAACCACAGCCCCTTGAGGGAAAGAGTTGGGTTCTCAGGGTCTGAAACCACAGCTTCTCCAAGTCCCTGGCCCCGGGCTATTACTGGCATTGCCCTGCATGTTCCTGGTGTTAGACAAGAAACCAATTCCTTCCCCATACTTCAGGGCCCCAGGGAAAGCCTAGGACCAGGCATAAACATAAATGGTGTTTATCACAGCAACTGAAAAGGAATGGATGCAGCCACCAGCACAGAGCTGCACTGTCCATGTGTGAGCCTAGAAGGGGAAGAGACAAGAAAGTTGACAAGTAGCTTCAGATGTCAACTTGACGCAGCCTGGAGTCTCCAGAGAAGGTGCCTCAGTTGAGGGATCACCCTAATCAGACTGGCTTTATGGACATGTCTCTGGGGGATCGTCTTGTTGTTAGCCGATATAGGAGGGTCAGTCCACTGTGGGAGACACCATTCCCTGGGCAAGGGGTCCTGCACTGTGTAAGAAAGCTAACTAAGCACAGGCCTGCGAGCAGACAAGGCAGCAGACTACATTCCTCCATGGTCTCTGCTTCAGTCCCTGCCTGAGTTCCTGTCTCGACTTCTTCAAGGACAGACTGTGACAGGGAAGCATGACACACATAAGTCCTTTACTGCCTAGGTTGCTTTTGGCCAGAGTGTCTGGGTTTTGTTGTCTTTTAACGAGTCTTTTTTTTGTTTGTTTGGGTGTATGTGTGTGTATCTGTAATAGTTCATATGCACCATATGCCTGAGGAGGCCAGGACATCAAATACCCCAGAACTGGAGTTACAGGCAGCTATGAGCTGCCTGGTGTGGGTGCTGAAAACTGAACCTGGGTCCTTGCAGGAGCAATAAGCATGTTAACCACGGGGCCATCTTTGCAGCCCCTGGTCAGTGTTTCCGTCACAGCAGCTGAGCAGACACTGAAGCAAAACTCAGTTCCTAATGAACAATGGAAGAGGAATGAACATCAGGAAAGCATTCTAGAGACACTTGCATGGTTGCACAGTGTTTACATCATTTCATTGAATCCCCCAAACACTCTTTAGAGGTAGGAATTATTGTCCCCTATCATAAGACAGGGAAAACTGAGGCCCAGATATGGCTAGTGGCTTGGTTAGGTTCACACAGGGATCACTGGATGCTGTCCCTGATTGTTTGTCCATCTGCTGTCCAGGAAACAGGGCTGTCAGGGCCAATGAAGGAGGAGGGACGGGAATGGAGGAGGCACTCTGGCGGCAGTGTGAGCTGATCCTCCCAGGTGCTCACTAGTGTTGTGGCTTTGCAGATGGCCTGCTAGCCAGTGATACATGTGGATGTGTCTGTCTGTCCTTCCTTCTACAACGTGATTTGTCAGTTGCTCAACCTAGTTCCTCCTCTGTCAAGCTCTGCAGGAAGTTGTTACCTCCTCTTTCCAAGGCTACACCTTTGGCTCCTCCTCTCTCCGCAAAGCCGTCCTGGAGTGTGTCCAAGGCCCCAGCTGTGTCACCCTCCTGACTGTGATGTTTGCTGTCCCATTAGGAGGTCTCTGACTCAGGGCTGAGGGTGTAGATGTTGCATTTGGATCAGGGACCTCTCAAGTCTTCATGGGCTAGTGGGCACCACTGCTAGGGTGACGGTTCAGCCCACAGCCTACAGCCCAGAGCCCATAACCCACACACAGTCCATTGACCACACACCGCAGCCATCCCAGCTCAACTCTGGACCAATGATCTCGATAGTAGAGGCCAAGTCTGAGCTGTGTACCGACGGAGGCAGAGTCAGTAGGGCCACTGGACCCCGGGCTCTGTTGTCTCTGCTCCTGCCTGGAGATATGGTTCTGCTGCTCAAGTAGAAGTAGAAGGGTGGCTCATAGCAGGATTTTTACTGGCCAGAGCTGGATCTCTCTCTCTCTCTCTCTCTCTCTCTCTCTCTCTCTCTCTCTCTCT